TATCAGTAGTCTAGTCAAAAAAGATATTCGAGAAGTTAAAAAGATTGGTAGAAACAAAGTACTCGTCGAATTTATTAATCCGGAGATGGCTAATAATATAGTTGAGCATCAAGCTTTAAAGGATAAGCACCTCAAGGCATTTATTCGTACATATCGAGTCATGCGTATCGGTATTATCAGGGATATTCCGACAGATATCAATGAGGAAGATCTCATCTTCTCCTTTAAAACGCTAAAATAATTTCCGTACAACATCTTAATCGTAAAATTACAGCCGAAGGCGAGACTAAGTTTGTGCCATCCAAAACGGTTTTGGCTAAGTTCAGGGGACAAATGATACTTAAAGCGGTCTCTCTTTTCAAAATCAGACTTCCGGTTCACCCATATGTTCCGCGGGTTCAGCTATGCTATAATTGTTATCGTCTTGAGCATGTTAGTGCAAACTGCAAGGGTAAATCCAGGTGCCTTCGATGCGGAGGCGACAAGCATAAATCGATTGAAGAATGCTCGCGATTGCAACAATCTCCTGTCTGCTCTAACTGCGGAGGGGAGCACGTCCCCACCGTTCCTGATTGCCCTGCGCTTATTAAGCAAAAGTTAATTAATACCATCGCCTCGGTTGAAAATATTCCCATTTTAGAAGCACGGGCAAGAGTCGGGTGCCGTGAATCCGTACCCGCAGTCGGTAAACAATTTTCTCAGGGAAAGTTTCCCTTTTTATCTTACCGATTCAATTGTATGAGTTATCGACCGACTGCAACCGCTTATGGTAAGGTTCAGACGAATACTCCACCATCGTTTAGTGACTATAACCCCTATGAGGTTCTCTCGTCCATGCCTGATGTAGGCGACAACGGAAATCTCTTTCCTTCGTCGGATTCGGAGGCCTTGAGAAGGCCCCCCCCCTCCCCTAACCAACGTAGTGATAATTCAAATCGCGAGGATAGTAATAGACGTGAATCCCACCCTGGAACACCCCCTCGACGTAATAACACTAGCCGTCGTGAAACGACACATAACGAAAGACACCAGCAAGATTTCAGTAATATTCACAATTCTTATTTATATGCTCCCAATGGTAGGTCGGAAAATTATAACTATTATCCCCAATATGCTCTTATGAATATGAAAACTCCATTCTCACACCAAGTTCCCTCCCCCCCCCCTTTTAACCATCCTTATGGTTTCTTCTTTACAAGGTATCCTCCCCCTTCCTTTGCTCCCCCGCCTACGTTTAACTATCGCAACCCCGACCAAAATCCTCACCCCCATCCGTCTTACTACACATTTGGAAGGCCCAGAGGATTTCCTCCTATGGGACCTCTTCTAAATACTCAGCATAGCAATGCCCGCAACATTAATGATAATGAGTCACAATTTGTTAATACATTTGCTATAGTAATTAACCAACTTGCAGGTAATATCCCCGACTCACTTAGAAATTCACAGCTTGGCGAAGGCCTACAACGCATTTGTGACGCATTAAGCCCGAATCACACTAGCGGCTCGCGGCTGCGATTGCGTTTGTGATTTGCTACGCTCCAATCATACTTGCAATTGGTGTTTTCTGATTGGCTGAGGCAATCGGATTCGCAGCCGCGAGCCGCTAGTGTGATTCGGGCTTTACGTGATCTCAACACCAACCAAAATAATGAATAGTGGATCAGAAAATGCTGGCGCCGCCTCGGGATGCAGCCTAATTTATTGGAACTGCAGAGGAGCTCTCAGTAAAAAACCAGATATTGAAAAACTGACGGAATCCTATGAGATCATCATACTGGCTGAGACATGCCTCACTCCATCTCACGATTTCTGTATTCGTGGATTCGATTGTCTTAGAAGCGACTGCACTAAACCAGGTATGAGGGGAATGGCAGTGCTAGTCAAAAATATTATTACTTATTCAGTCTTCTTCTTTTATGGCTGGTTGGGCATTAGTCGCCCATACACCATTGTTTCTTATAGATTTGAAAAAATATAAGCAAAAATCCTCTTAGGAGAGGAGAAAGTCCAAAAAAGGTCCAAACAAAGGACATACGCAGCACGCTAAAACACGTCCGAACCCGACAAGTTGTCAGTCGGAACTTTACTTATTCAGTGTTAGATTTGTCCAGGAATTTGGACATAACTATGGAAGCAATTGCTCTCAGATTATTCACTCGTCTAGGGGAATTTGCCATCATTGGGGTCTATCGTCACCCCAATACTCTGACTTCAAATAAATCTATTTACAATCTTTTTAATCTGATTAGCTCTCATGAACTTTCATTAATGTTAGGTGACTTTAACGCCCACCATTCTCTCTCTGGGGCCCAACGAAGCAATGCATCTAGAAATATAATTGCTCGTTAGCAATTGTTGCTCTTGATGACAGCAATGCTGTACTGCTCAACCCAAACACTCCCACCTTCATTGCTCACCCTTCTCGATCTTCCACGCTAATTAACCTTGCGTTCGCGTCAGCGAGTGCAGTCCCACTATGCGTATGCAATATAATGGAAAACTCATTCGGCAGTGACCACTTTCCGGTTACTGTTCATCTTAACTGCCTAATAGATAGTTCGAGCATCTTCTCGCATAAATTCAAAATATCTAAGAAGCAATGGCTTCTGATCCCAGCCGATTTGTCATGTGAATTACAAAACATTTGTGACTCGGTATTGGAAATAGGAGATAACAATTCAATATAACAATACAACTATTTCTATGTACACCTCATCGAAATTCTTAATAAATATTCGCCTGCATCCAAAATCGCTCAGATTAAAAAATTCAGGCGCCCTGACGGGACACGGAGCGGACCACCTCCGGCTCCCTGGTGGACCAAGGAATGTTCAGAAGCCGTAAAAAAGAGGAAAGATATGTGTAAACTGTATAGGCATACCCCCTGTCGAAAACTATGACAAGTACACCCAGGAAATCTATAACTGTAGAAAGGTTCTGAGAAGCACCAAGAAACTAAGTTGAAGAACATATTGTTCTAGCCTAAATGCGCGTACCCCTACTCCGGAAGTCTGGAGAATGCTCAAAAGATTTCGCAATCGTCGACTCGCCCCCTCCTGCGACTCGATTAACAAGGTTGGCAATCATGCCGAGGACAACCGAGTCATAATGGACACAATCAGCCGAATTTGCCCACCAGCTTGCTCTCCTCAACGCGTTATTGATCTGGTGAGAGATGTGCCACTCTACAATGGCCCTCACGCATGGATGGACTCTCCCTTCGCTTATAAAGAATTCGAAGCTGTATTAGATTCGGCTAAACTTACTTCTAGTCCTGGACTCGACAAAATAGACTATAGAACTTTAAAAATTCTCCCCTACGATTTAAAAGCGCTTCTTCTCAGAATTATTAATAATCTCTTCTTACAGGGCAAATTTCCAAAGGAATGGTGTCACTCACTTGTATATCTCATCCCTAAACCACACGGAGGAGGTGTCCGCCCTATTGCACTCACCTCCTGCTTGTTAAAATCTTTGGAGAAACTCATCTTTAACAGATTGTACTGGTATATCGAATCAGGCGATGTTTTGCCGATTTTTCAATATGGGTTTAGAAAATTTAGATCTTGCCAGGACAACCTAACAACTCTCACGGCCGAAATCTTTTCAGGCTTTGTGCAGGATCGGGTCACGGTCGGAGTGTTTATTAACATTAAAGCGGCATTCGACAATGTCATTCCTTATATTCTGATAGATGACTTGAAGGAGCTCAAATTGCCGCCTAGAATCTTAAAATTTATCGAAAACCTAATTCTCTCAAGAACGGTGCAATTTGTCATTCAGGGACGGCTCTCCGAGCCCCTTTTGTCCCGTAAAGGCACGCCACAAGGCTCTGTGCTTAGCCCTATCCTATTTAACTTATATCTCAGAAATATCTCCTCTGTCTTACATCAATTGCTGCATACCAAAATTCTGCAATTTTCTGACGACATTGTCATTTACTCAATGTCATCAAGTGTCGATAAAGCACGTAACTCGGTAGAACGTTCCCTTTCTAATATAGACACGTTTTTACATTCCAAGGGTTTAGATATCTCACCGCAGAAAACACAGATGATGGTATTCTCACGTCGAAAAGTCTGCTCTACTGCCGGCCACATTATCCTTAACAACACTACTATCAAACCAATTTTTAGATTAAATTAAATTTTTAGATTAAATTGTTAGATTCTTAGGAATATTATTGGACTCCAAGCTTAATGGAAACGCTTATATGGAATATATTATCAACAAATCCAAAAAAATTATACAGATTATCTCTGCTCTACATGGGGTATGATGGGGCTCGCATCCTCAGCTTCGGCTTACGGCATACCGCTCACTAAGAAGCTCTATAGAATACGCCTGTCAAATATTTGGTCTCAAAAATTCTACCCGCTTTCACAAACTAAAGCTTATTCAAAATAAAGCGGTAAGACTATGCCTTGGATATCGTATCTCCACCCTAATTAATGTCACGTTTGCTGAAGCCAAAGAGCCTCCTTTTGCGTATCGCTTTCGATATCTTACTTCTAAATTTTTTATTAAAACTTTATCTGTGATCGACCACCCGGTAGTAAATTGTTTTGAAAAGCTCTCAGATACCATTACTAATAATCCCAAAAATTTTGGGTACCTTTCGTCCAACTTCCCAGCGATCAATCTCTTTCGGCAACTAGCCCCTCACAAGCAAGCCATATATAAATCTATTACCCTGCCTCAATTTCAACATTCGTATCATTCTATGTATCTCTCTCCCGAAATTATATATCCTCAACAGGACTTTCTAGATAAATTGGAACAATTTTCCAAGCATTACGCACAAAGTATTTTTATGCAGGCCTTCGGTAAACTTATAGAAGGAATGGTTACTCTCTATACGGATGGGTCTAAAGTTGATGATAGCACATACGTGGGATCTGCCTGCTATTTCCCCCTACCGAGAACTCAACTCATGTATAAGATTCCATCCCATGCCTCCGTCTTCTCTGCGGAGGCTTGAACGATTTATAACGCGATTTTACTCATATTTGATATCAATGCTCCAGAAGCAACTATCATTTCCGACTCCATGAGTGTGCTTAAAACACTCCTCTAAATCAAAACAATTACTTAATCCCGCTTATAAAAGCAAAACTCGAGGCGGCGCGCGAGCTAAAAATCCACATTCAATTTATCTGGATCCCGTCACATAAAGGGATTCATGGCAACGAAATGGCTGATGAATTAGCCAGACGAGCAACTAAAGTAGGTATAACTTGTAATTTTAAGGTCCCTTATTCGGATTTCTTTTCTGTCCCCAGGGAAAAATTAAATTTTGACTTTGATAAATACATTGAGCATTGGGCTAGGTTTAAGGGCACAGCGTTCTTTGAGAAAATCTACCAGAAATGCAGGAAACCTTGGTACTACCGCACTAGCCTTACCAGGGAAGCCATAGTTACAATTTCACGCATTCGGGCTAACCACTACAATCTCAACCATACCTTATTTCGGAAAAATTTATCTGACAACCCGGCTTGCCCGTGCGGATATCCCTCACAAGATATTAATCACATTGTGTTTAATTGCCCCAATACACAAGATAAATCTTTGTACTTAAAAACCGGTATTGCTAATTTGGTTGGATCTCTAACTGATAATATTTTTGACATTTTAAAAAATCCATCTGGCAAAATTTGTAGACTAATCACTGCTTTCTTAAAAGCATGTAAAATAAACATTTAAAATTCCCGCTGCGCTGCGTGGTCACTCCATGTCATCGCACTGTCCCCCTCTCTAATCCTTTTAACCTATATCGGAGCACACCGAACCGTTTCGGCACGCATCTCCACACTGTGGAATGAAACTGCTAACAAGTTCATTACGTTCAGATTTGTAACGGATGCACCTCTGTAAACACAAATACATTAAGGAACGTCCTTATTTAATGCCACTTCCGTACTCATTATATGTAAGGTTCTGGCCGTATGATCCTCGATCGAGGGCAGGTGCCATTTAAGAAAGAAGAAGAATACGCGTATATTGGCTATAGTATCATAAACCTCTGGATCATATCTATCTAAAAAGGCTTTTTTCCCTAAATCTGAACTAACCATTAAAATTTTGGTATTATCTTGCATTGTCACATTACCATTTGTGGCTTTTATTTCATTATGAATCAGCAGTCTTTTACATGAGGCTCTGAACTGCATAGCAGTGGGGTTGGGACACCAACCACTACGAGCCTGAAGAGCACAAAAAAATAATTCTATATGATCCTGACTCAATTTGTAGGTCAATAAATATTTCATTTGAGAATTTGGCGTTTTAACGTATTTCTCATATATACTTATCACAGCCAAACAGGCAGGATATATTCCTAAGATATATCAGCAGGATATAACAGCAGGATATATTTCCTACTTTACGGGTTGATGAGAACATCAATCTATTTTCTCCGTTTCGCAACGTTGAAATATACGTCAAAAGTTTTTCGATTCGCGATCTCCATGTATGTTCGTTTTTTGTACTTAACGGCGCTTTGTAACGTTGATCGTAAGGGCTACGAGAATTCAAGAAATCGAATAAAATATCTATTGAACGGATAAAGTTGATCGTTGCTTCACAACCTTTGAATTCTGGTAACTGAAGTTCTTTTAATAGTAAAAAAGTGTTAACGCGAAACTACGAAGAGCCGGGGTATTGCGTTCTTGAAATAGAGTTTGACTCACCATTATCAATGACACATTGCAAAAATTGTTTAACACCTGGATCGACTATAGATTCCAGAGAACGTAAACAAGCTTCGGAAACTTGAACCTTGACAGAACTACGAAGTTCATTGAGCATCTCTCGGAAAGACGATACTTTTCTCTGTAGTCGATCGAGTTTCCTTTTCTGCAATTTGATGATCTCATCCTTTTCCTTCAACATTTGTTCATAATGAAATAATCTATCATGCATTGTAGGAGAACTTTCATATCGATGATCATGGTTTACAATTCGCCGGGATTTGCAAACTGGAGATGCTGTTGTAAAGTCGAATTGCATGGACGTTAGTCCTGTTCCTGCATTATCTGCAAAATTATCAACGATTTGTTATGAATTTTCTCATTTCATATATTATTTTTTCCCTCATACATATGTTTATCATACATTCTTGAATAGTTCTTACCAGAATTGTGAAGTGTCTTCATAGGTATGTCGATAACATCATGAGAGCTTTTCCTTCTTGCCTCATCAACAGGAACTGGATTGACTGATAACACCTTGTACGATTTATGATGTGGTAAAGAGTTTGTTATAATGTTGCTTTCAGGTGGAGGTGGCGTATTTTTCTTAGATGCAAGAAATTCTGCCAAATCAAGAATTAGGAATTATCTTCTTATTATTACAATCATAATTTCTTTTTTAATATTATGGTAATAATTAGATAGAAAATATAATAATATTATTGATGTTTAATTTACTTGGAGTGTCATTCAATGAACTATAATCACTGGAAGTGAATATTGTTGGAATACTATTTTCCTTCAATGCCCAGTATTTCCCTTTTACTTTCCTCAAACAAGACGCTTCAAAGTGGCTTGAACACAAATAACTAGTTTCAGTAGGCCTCCAGTTTAACATATTCATATTTCCCAACCATTTATTGAGGAGTTCTGGTTTTCCCAAGGGAAACCTATATAGAATATATATAAAATAAATATCGCTGAGATGTAAAACTCTAGAATTAATGTCAAATAATATAACGTTTGAAAAATATACCTGAAAAATGAGTAAGGAGATTGATGCAAACGTTTACGCTTACACATTATACATGCTGTTGGGGGATCTCCGAAACAGGTTGGAATACTATTAAGCTTCAAGCGTACTCTAAATTCAGATCTGTCAAAACAGTCCTCAGTAAAGTGATCTGAACACAATAAACTTCCATTGCTAGGTTTCCAATGTTTTAATGGTACATTGTTAATCCATTGTTCCAATAGAAATTTATTTGATAATGGAAACCTGTAAAAGATGGATCATACAGAATAGAACAAAATGTTAAATATTCGAATGACTAGTTTTCATTAGCAATCTAATTCCATGTAATGTGAAAATAATTGACACGTAATGAACCCGAAGACATAACCTGTAGTTGTCACATTTCGTAAATGCTGTGTATAGATTATTCGATTTACTTACTTATGATATATATTATACTTATGATATATATATATATACTTATGATATGTTCGTCCACATCCTTTGCTTTGAACACTTTGGCAGAAACAACATCTCACCATCGTAAAAAAATTAATTATTTAGAAATAAATATATTAGATATGTTTACAAGTGTTTTTAACATAGATATATAGACTGGATTGAGGATTGTGAGATAGACAAACGCGCGCCCGCTGTAGAAAGAGAGGTACTATATGGGAGACCTATGTTTGTCTCTCTTTCTAGCATCTCATTGGTGATTTTCTATATGGAGAGAGACAAAATCACCAATGAGATGCTAGGAAAACAGACCAAATAGGCCTCCCATGTAGTATCTCTCTTTCTACAGCGAGCGCGCGTTTGTCTATCGCAACGTTCAGTCCATTCTATATGTCTATGGCCGGTATTCATAGTCAGAGAGAGAGAAAGAGAGAGAGAGAGAAAAAAAGAAGGAGGAAGGAAGGGAGTTTAAGATTTAGCCTTTGTTTTAAGAGAAAAATTACATCGATCCTGGCCTCAAGCTCTAAGCTTTAAAAGATGGGAGTTGGCCAACTCGTTTAGAGCTTAGAGATTAGGGCTTAAGGCAGCGCGAGAAATGTTTAAGGCCGAAAATACGTCATAGTTTAGAAATTAAGTCATAAGGTTTAGGGTTTAAATCGCCTATTGTAGACCGGCACTAAAACGGTCTTGAAATAAGAACTGACTATGAATACCGGCCTATGATTTCTACGCGCTCCATCCGATAGAGCACCACCACGCATGCGTGCACCTCTGGCGTGTAAAGGCCCGTCTACAATGGCAGTAACAAGGCTGTAGGAGTAGGAGAGTATACTGTTTTTAGTGATGTTTAGACGGGGAGTAACGAAATGGGCAATTCCCATTTGCTCTTAAAAGTATACTCTCCTACTCCTACAGCCTTGTTACTGCCATTGTAGAATGCCCTTAAAATGGCGGACCTTCAATTGGGTACGTCGCCAGTAATCCTTTATTTACAACGTTTGGTGGTCCATAATTTATCCAAAAAAAACCATATACAGTTAGGTAGTAGGGATGGCTAACTGGAAGCTGTAAAGTTAGCCGAACAAATATATTATTTACCAACCAATTTTGTTCAAATTGGTCTTAATTGAAAGACAATCGTTTGGTGGTGATTGTTAGTCTAATTACAACGTTTGGTAGTTAATTATTAGGCTACTACGATTATAAAACCATGTGCGCTGATCCTGCGTCTGCGCGTGCCTTCGCCGTGTAATGGCTCTCGCAGACCAGCGCGATGATGCGACGCGCGATATCCAATGAGAGCTCTGCTTTTCGGAAAAAATAAAGCTCTTATTGGATATCGCGCGTCGCGCTGATCTGCAAGAGCCATAATGCTGATATTATATTCGGACAAAATGTTTGTGGATAGCAATCAGATGGAGAATGCGTAGTCTAATACGGGCTTTATGATTATGCGCTTATGCAAAAGTGTGTGCTCCTCGCTTAAATACATAACACATACGTCCCATAAATAATATATACGGGTAGAAGAAAAGAATGAAGCGGCACTTCTCTAGAGAATGAAATGGCTTAAAGTATATCGGTGTATACTAGACTATTATCATATACAGAGACTCTAAAAATTCTTTACTCGATAGCCAATCGCTACGCCAATAGCTTTATAGTAATATTACATTTGTCGTACAATAAACTTTTTAAACGCATTGATTAGCTAATTTCTAGAAATTATTTCTAGAAATTCAAGAAATTTTCTATTTTGCAACCAATCAGTATGCTTGAAAAGTATGTCGCACAACAAATTTAATATTACCCTTAAGCGATATTACATTCACACGACAAAATGTTTGTCGAACGTAACGATTGATTATCGAATAGAGAATTTCTAGAGTCTCTATCGAGATTCTCCGAATTCTCCATCTGATTGCCAATCCACAAACATTTTGTCTGAATGTAATGGCACCTTTACATGGCAGCATTAAGCGTCGAGCATCTGCGCAAAAAACTGCGCAGAATTTAAAAGAGATAGATTCTAGGCTGAAATTAGATTCTGCGCAATTTTCTGCGCAGACGCTCGACGCTTAACGCTGCCATGTAAAGGTACCTTAATATCAGCATTATGGCTCTTGCAGATCAGCGCGATGACGCGACACGCGATATCCAATGAGAGCTTTATTTTTTTATCATCATCAAACGACCACCAAACGATTAGATAATTTTAATTATTAAAAAGTTAAAGTGGTCCAGCTAAAGGCTGATTTATTCTAATGCCATTTATATTAATGCCATTATGAACAAAAGCATTGTAATCCTAGTGTTAAACTTTAACGGTTCCGGCATAAATTAACAGTTACGGCCTGCATAAACCAGCCTTAACTTTACAGACCTTACGTCGCCAGAGTACCAATCACGTAAATTTTTCCCTAGGGCGGAAACATAAAAAGTGAAAAATATTAGCATTGAAAAATTAAATCAATGGCAAAATTTTTCACTTTTCACTTTTTCGCCCTAGGGGAAAAGTTACATGATTGATACCCTGAAGGGGTGCGTTCCGTTTTACGCATTAAGCGCATAGATCGCCTGGAAATCTATAGTTCACGTAACATATCAGTAGCGGGATTCTCTAAATATCTTAGCGACGATTATCGTTGTCGTTAGCGAGCGATAGCTTATAAAAATTGCGCTTTTCACCAGAATTGTCCTTGCCATTGGCTGTCGCCAGTTAACGATACCGAAAACTGTCGATAACAAGTTACTGAATCCCGCTACAGGTATATAAATATGAAACCGGAATTTGCCCATAGATGGCCCTAGCTGTCAATGTAGTTACCATAGACATAGTATATCTAGATCGATTCCGGTTTCATATTTATATACATGATATATTACAGATTTCCAGGCGATCTATGCGCTCAATGAGTGAAACGGAACGCACCCAAGGCCTATCAGCAATCCAGATATAAAGATCAGTGGTTTTCCTTCATCTCTATTTTCTGTTGGCCACCCTGCTAATTTTAACCGTCGGTTCATCTAACCGGACTTGGTGAAATTGGCCCTCAGAGCGATTAATGACGTCATTGCATTGTCTCTGTCAATAAAAGGCTTGAATTCATAGTAAAATATAGTGATTAATTGAACTGGGTTGGGTTAACCCGTTCATTCGAAAACGCTATAAGGCTATATAAAGGAAGGTTAAGTTATGAGCCTGGGCCACCCATAATGCAATGCAAAGAATCAATGTGTGCGCAGTCGCTATTGAAAAGAGATACTAAATAAAGTAGACTTATTGGTTCTCGCGGCCTTTCGCAATGCATCATGATTTGTTCAGGAATATACATGGTATCAATAGTACGATTTAACATTCCTTTATATAACCTTAGGAAACACCATGTACTATTGGCACTATCTCTTTTTTTTTGCTAATTTAAATCCTACCAATATCAATATCTCTTTTTAAATACATGCTTAACTTATTGGGATGATGAAATCTATTTTTTATTTGTAGTTGTCTCAAAACTTTTAAATTAATTATATCTGCATTAATTGGAAATCTTACTATCGCCAACAGTCATACCACGTTGTAGAGCACCTAACATTATTAGGAAAGCTAGTAATTTTTCTGACCCTTTTTTGCTAGCGATAAGAATAGAAAAATGGTACACACTTTACGTTGTCTCAAGCCTTACGTTCCTCCAATTTTTTTAAATATATTTGTGTGACTTGCGAGTGCCAAATTGGCCGTCGAGTTAATCCTAGTATAAAGCCGATTACTGGTTTATTATAATACAAAAATCCAATTGTTTGTAATGGTTCTTAATAAACGACTTAAAAAAAGAAAGAAAAAAACGTTGTAAAGCACCAGTTCTCGTCCGATCACTGAAGTTAAGCAACGTTGGGCATGGTCAGTACTTAGATGGGTGACCGCTTGGGAATACCATGTACCGTTGGCACTCTTTTTTTGGCTAATTTAAATCTTACCAATATCAATTTTTTTTTAAATACATGCTTAAATTATTGTGATGATGAAATTTATTTTTTATTTATAGTTGTCTCGAAACTTTTAAATTAATTATATCTGCATCAGTTGGAAATCTTACAGTCATACCACTGGAGACGATGGATACCACTGAGGTAACAGGTAAAGGCTGCTTTTGGAGTCAAATAATTGATTCGGAAAATCTAACCACCAAAGACAAAGAATGTCCGTCAAAGACCGAAGCGCTTGCAGACATAACCAAAATAGCGAAAGGGAAACTGGCATCTCCCTCAGTGTCGAAATTCACAAAAAGCATAAACAAATTAAATCCAGCTAAGCTAAAAGTGGAACCTAATCTGTCGGCAGCAATGAAACAAAGAACGAAGATCGATTTGAACAGCAATATCAAGAAAAAAGAAGTGCTAGATGAAAGTTTAGAGAGTAAGATCAGGCAACTCATCGTAGAAAATCAAAAGCTAAAACTACCCTGCCGAAAATGGTCGATTAAAACGGATTAAAAAAAAAATGTAATCCGAATCGATCGGAATTTTTTAATCCGGGCGCGGATTGAACCGATTAAAACCGATTAAAACGGATTATGTTTTAATTTTTTTCTCATATACACCGAAGGAAGATAAGAACGCCACATTCCTACTAAAAGGGTTAAATCAGACTTTTGAAACACATGAAATTATTGAAGCGGCAAAAGATACAGAACATCTCTTTTAATAAAGTGACCAGATTCTCAACACGAAGGTCGGTACAGGAGGGTAGAATTCTACCTATATTCCTGGTGCAGATCACCGCGGACAGCAATGCAACGCAGTTGTGGAAGGTAAAATCACTCTTCCACCACATAATCTCGTGGGAGAAATTTCATAGGAAGGAGGCCATACAATGCAAACGATGCCACAGAATCGGACACGCGGCGGCCAATTGCAACCTCAAATACAGATGCGTGAAATGCAAAGAGGATCACAAGCCAGGAGAATGTGCAGCGGTACCCAAGGATCACAAAGAAGTATACTGTGTAAATTGTAAAACAACAGGACATCCGGCGTCATATAGAGGTTGTCCCGTATTGTTAGAGTTAAAAAACAGGTTAATTAATAAGCAACATTTACAGCATCAAAATAAAGTTAATAGTCTCGAACGTGGCAGCGGACAGGTTAGGCCTAATATGTCTTTCGCAGATGCAGTTA